CTGGATATCACTACTGTCGAACTTCAGTAAAGACTTGAATTAGTCCATCTGCCTGAAAATCAGTACTGGTTAAACTTCAGTAAGGTCACGGACAGAGTGGAATCATTTACTTGTCTGAAAATCACTACTTATAAATCTTCATTGTGACACATGAAATAGTCTACTTGTTTGAAAACCCATACAATTTCCTTTGAAAAGTGAGGAAACAGACTGAAGATAACTGCTTAGAAATTTCAGAAGGGAAGCCAAGTTATCTGAAATAGTTCAGCATGAAACTGTGGATTAATATACTGTTTTGAATTGTCCTTTTGCATTTTCTGTTCTTAAAATGTGTGTACTGTTTAAAGCACGTCACATTGCACCAAAAGTCACCGTGTTGCTTCATTAAGAGAGACAAAAGTGGACGTGAAACGTGGATAATTATCGCCTATTTTTGTGTAAATAAAATCCGGTTCTTTCTGTGACAAATACTAATCAAAGCAAGTTTTTTCGTTGATTAAGATGTGGATCTTGGGGCTGATAATAACAGGAAGTAAATACTTTCTTGTGAAATCATGTGCAATTACATAGTGGGAGAAGAACCGTAGATCCAATTTAACATTCACAGGTGTAAGTATTCACGAAAAATGCGTGTGTGCGCTTCTTCGTCGGCCCACTGAATTTTTTTAACAAGATAACAGTTGTTTTTGAAAACGATGAACACCGACTCGATCACTCCCACTATATTGTATCCATTAAGACAAAAGACAAACTGAATGGGATAACTGTTGAGATGATGGATGTCGCTGTATTGGACCTATCCGCCCTTCGTGTGATGCCATTCATAACAAAATCATACCTTCAAGTACACGATAGTTATTTCATTTGACTTGTCAATACATACGTTAAAACTTCCTAAACTGATCGAAAAGCGAACGAATGCATGTCCTTCATTGGCGCCAATCTACTGCTCGCTAAGAGAGTTGCCACGATCGTTCAATCAGTTACTGTCGAAATTATTAGCTCAATAAGGTGCGAAACAGTAGGATATGATATTTATTTATGTCCAAATATTGCTGTGTTGAAATAGTCCATTGGGTTCGTGTATTTTGAGCTGAAGAATGCAATTAAATTTGCAGAAATAAATGCTAAATGCTGTTCGATCATGGCAGTTTTTCTGAAATGGATTTTGTCTGTCGTTTTCAATACTAAAAATAGTATTTTCAAAACCTTGGATACTTCCGTGATTTTTGAAGGTTAAGAGGGACAGTTTAGAAGTAAATTTCTTTCTGTTTAAGAGGCAACCTGAAACACTAATCAATGATATTTGCTGACATCTTTGAACCTTTTTTCCTCATAGGGACACTAATATATATTTTCCTTACCCAGTAATTGCCAAATTATGACCAAGTTTGAATTTCTGGTTACCGAATCGCACGATGAGTCAACTTTAGCAATTACAATTATGTTATCAAACTTATTCTGGGTGTGTTTCTAGGTGCGTTGCATGAACTGATGCAAATTTTATGGTTACGAAAATGCAATTGGATTATGAAGACTGTTCTTCTTAAACGTCGACAATCTGTTATGCATGAGGACTTTGCTGCCAAATTTGTTGGTCAATCTGTTTTGGATTTCGTTTTCGAGGCGTTCGTACTTAGGTTTTATATTTTCGAACTGTAAAATTGTATGTTATGATTAAATGATTTTGTTATGGAATGTTATTATGCAGCTGATAATTTAATCCTTTCACCTTATTTTTTTTGTAAATCCAACAATTATCTCGGCATGACAAAGGGCTAGGTGTAATCTTATTATTCTCAAGGCACAATAACAGTCTTAATTTTGAATACTTAAATTTTCACTCCATTTTACAGTGTGTATGTATCGCAAAGTATTGTATTGAAGAGGTTCCTAAGCAATTTTCTGACCTATTAACTCTTCTTTTTTTTTTATTTATTCCATTTATGTCCGGCCTGTGATTTTTCTAATTCCGAAAAAAATGACATCTAGCGCAATTACCACTTGGTTTTCTGAAAATAAGTGACAGGGGATGTATCTGGACTAAACTTCACATGTATTTTACGATCCGTGGGCATATTTTATACCACATCACGTGTAGTCTAGTCAGAAGACCATAAGAATACATGTACATGTATTTCATTAACGATGTATTTTGGTTTCGGAATCTCTTTTGGAACATCTGATTTAAAATTGACTTTCCGTCATTAATCTAAGGGAAGTAACTGTAATATTGAAATTATGTAGATCACAATAACATATATATTTCCATCTGATGACGTACTTCACTACGCATGTAAGAAATCGTATACTAAGTATTTCGTTATTCCTTCCATTTTTAAGCGTCCTTAAATTGTCCCATTATAGATTTACCAACAGCCAATGATCCGTTGGATCTTCTTATGAAAAGTTTCCGTTTTATTTAATGGTTAAAAGCGTCTGGTTACTATTTCCTTTTAAAATGAAAGCAGGTGTACCAGCAGACAATCTTCAGTAGTTATTTTGTAATAGCTTATATCTGACCAGACGATTACGTCTTCGAATATTTCAATCTGGATGGTCTAAGTTACGACTACTTACGTCCTATGCTGTATAATTTTTTGAATAGTTCAATCTCTAAAACAATATACCGAATTTCTAATTAAATATATTCAGACTTTAGGTTTTAGACATTGAAAATTAATGGAATTGCAATGGTGTATTTTAATTTGAATTTCTGGTTCAAAAATGGATATAACTGTTGATTTAGTCTATCTAATACACAAGTAATTCCGTACAAACTGTGACCATATAAAATTTAACTCAGATCATAATAATTAGGTCGATTAGTTAAGCAACATTTTAATCCGATAAAAAGTTACGTCTGGATATTTCTGTATTTTAAACCTGGAACAAGAGAGTGAATTTTCTATAAATATAGATTAAAAGGAAATTTGTTGATGAGCATAAATTATTTAATTGCGATGTTTGATTGGTGATATATTATTGTGAGGTTCTATGGCACAGTCGGTTAGAGAGTTGGTTCTTTACATGACTTCCTTTGCTTGGTTATGTCGAGCGAATGGCGGCTGCGTGTTCTGTGGGTTCGGGTTCTGATCTCAATCGGCGTGTGAAAATCCGATGTCCTTGAAGAAGTCATCTTCACTCATAATTCAAGTTGACCCAGTTGTAAATGGCTAGGAATAATTGGGGAAAGATTTATAACTTTCCGGGACCAAGGACCAGCTGGTATAAAGGATCCTTAACTGTGAACCTTAGTTGTTATCCTCGTAAAATATAGTTGTTTCTTTCTTTTCATCTTTCCCACAAGAACACACTACTGTTTACAGTTTCTGAAAAATCTTATATTTTGTACCAATATAACAAACGAGATACCTCTGTCTGATGATCTGTCAATCCACTTGCATTTTGCTTCACTCTCCGCTTAATTTTTTTTCCAAATTCCACTTTGATATCAATACCAAGATAAATGTATGCAAGTTAAACTTGGGGTAATAATCGCATAAAGGCTTAGCTATAAGGATGATGAAATGTTAGTGTGTTCGATTTCTAGGATAGGGCGGTTTGACCCCTCCTAAATGTGCGGTTGATACTGATACTTCGTTCTGTTTCGAACGGCCATGTCGTCAACGTGGTCAAAATAAAGTATATTAGTAAAGGGACGCAAACCTTTTAATCAGATTGAGAAGCACCAGACAACATTATTGTATAGTTACTGAAGTTTGGCGAGCAGTGATCTTTTAGATCACCGATATATTTCAGCTTGTGTCCTCACTGAAATTTGACAAGTAGTGATCTGAACTACTCAGCTCGCTCCTACTGATAGTGATCTTCATACCACTGATCTATTTCAACCATTAACCTTACTGAAGTTTGACAAATAGTGACATTCAGACCACTGAACTATTACAGCATTTCCAGTCATTACAGAAGATGGCAAGAAGTGATTTGCAGACATATGTATTACATCAGTCTGTGAACTTTAGTTTTGAAGTTTAACAAGACATACTCAGCCAACTAAACTATTTCAGCTCGTGTCCCTAATGATAGTGACCGATCTATTTTTGCTCCTACTGAAGTTTGGCAAGAAGTGATTTTCAGACACCTGTACTATTTCATCTTGTCTTCCGAATGGAGTTTGACAAGCTATCTTCAGTCTGTGACCTTACTGACGTTTGAACTATTTCAGTCTGATAAGTGAAATTCAGACAAATGTACTACATTAGTCTGCGAACTTATTGAAGTTTGACAAGAAATATTCAGCCAACTAAACTATTTCAGCTCGTGTCCCTAATGAAATTGATTTATTTCAGTTTGTGTTTCTACTGATCTTCAGACAACTGCAACTTTTCACCATTTCTTCCAGTTGGTTTATGTACGAGTACTATTTTTTTTTTTCAAATTTAAGAAATGGAAATAACAATTTTAATATAATTTAATAATACAAGTACAAATGTATTTATACAAGCCTTTTATACAAATAAACTATCTGATTAACACTCTCATCACATTCGTCGTTATGAAAAATAATACTTGAAATACATATATACTTTCAATATTCATTTTCCAAATTTGGCCAAAACCGATTTTCTTCAATTTTGTGTCATCAACTATAATGGTCCTCTGTCAATATAATTTTTTTCATAATTTACTCTGGTTATACATGAATGATTGAAGAACCGTTGTACTGTGCACGAAGGTTGCTGGTGATTTGGTGATTTTTTATTAATAAGACCGGGTGTATAGTATCTCGCATAGATACGCAATGGCTTTCTCATTTAGAATGACATGGCGTCCCAGGGATTTAAACGATACACTAGTTTAACTGGAATGTATTTGACTGAATTGGAATGCCAATTACTAATATTAACTCTAGGTCTGGCTGAAAGATCGGTTACAAAATGAGCTTTGAGTTCAAACAAACAAAATTGTACTCATTCAATGACACTTCATACATACACTAATCTACGCTGTAGATATCAATGTGACCGTTTCAGTCTTTAGGTGGCTGTTGTACTCTCAGTAACTGTGTTCATGTTCAAGGTCGGCACCGGCATAGACAAACCTTCGTCACACGATGACGTGTCTTCCATACTGTCCGAAAATACTGCATTATCCGTTTGGGCAACCTCCTTGTGAATGGTCCCATTTTGAACCAAAATGCCCGTAGGCAACGGCAACGCACACGTTACTCCATACGTTCTACTATTGTTTTTCATATTGGCACTTTGAATCGACGTCGACGTCGCCTGTCGTACATTTTTATGTGGTTGTAATAACACTATGTATACTTTAGGAGCAAACAAACAGAAGAGAGCTACCGTGGCACTGATACTGACACACATACACAAGGAGATAATTTCAATCTGAAATTAAAAAAAAAACCAAATAAAGTTATTGAATTTTCTCTTTCTTGGTAACATGCCTCTTTGCTTCTGCATCTTGGTTTAAAATGTTGATCTAATGCTTGTTGCAAAACTGCTTTGAGTTTAAGATATTTGGCAATTACCATACATTGATAAAAATCAAAATCGACCAAATGACCAATTTTTGAAGTTGTTATCGCCAAGCCCAATGTAAGTGTAAGATTCTAAACCTCGTTCACTGTTAAAAATATGGACGATACGCCTGGGATTAAGTTACTTTTATAGAAATTTGTAAGGCACTACTCCACCTCAGTTGAATAAAACAAATCAAACTAGAAAAAAAGTCGTACGAAGCTTACCAAAAAAGCCAAAGAAAATCTATATAGTAATCAGATTAAATAACACAATTGTCTAAAATCGGCAAATAACTAAATCACGATTTATTGGTATTATGTGTTTTCGTTCATAATTCCTTGTTCCGTTATCATCTAGGTTTAATAAGATAAAATAAATGAAACTTACCTTGAAATCGTGGTTAGCTCCGAAGTATATAGGAATGAACGCCAGCCATACGATACAAGTGCTGTACATAGTAAACGCAATGTATTTCGCTTCGTTGAAATTTTGTGGAATTTTCCTAGTTTTAAAAGCATAAACTGTGCATAAAACAATGATAAAAATGTTATAAAATAAAGAAATAACCGTTGCTATTTGGGAAGATTTACACTTAAGTACAATATAGTCATTTTGATCGTAGTGTTGCACCGTGTCCGGCTTCTCGAATCCTAACCAAGTCAATCCTCCAATAAACTGCACAGATACTAGGCAAATACAGATTAGTATCTGTGACTTGGGACTCGTGTATCCAGGTCTTTTCACCATGGCCTTAATACCACTATTGAATATCCTATAAATACGATTTGTTTTCGTTAGTAGCGCCGCGTAAATAAAACACAAAGATACGCCAAGTCCCAAACGCCGAAGAGCGCACATGATCACTGAAGGTTTGGCAAGCATGACAAAAGAAGTTCCATACGATAAAAATATTCCCAATAGAAGAAGATAGCAAAGTTCGCGTCCACAAGCCATAATGACTGGCGTTGTATTGAAATGTATAAAAATAACCAAGACTGCTGCAGTACACAGCACACCAACTCCAGAAAAAGCAACAGGAAGTATGAACCACAGGCTAGAAGGTTCCAGATGGAATTCCGGTAATCGATCACAGATGGATTTATTAGCGTTGGGTCGTGAATCCTTCGGACAAGGAGCACAGTTGTTTTCATCTTGAAGATATTCATTTCCCTGACACGGTACGCACATCCAGCAACAACCACCAGTATGCTTCTTCGCTTGGCCAAATGAACAAGGTTCACTACATATGGATCGTGGAATATCTTCCCAATTCAATGAAGTATCATTTAGTGTCAAACTGGAAAAAATACAAATGCGACAGTATTAACAGACAGTTGCGATTTGGTCTTATTTTCTGTATTTTGTCATCTCCGTGCTCCTATTAGGAATGTTTTCTGTCGGTTTTTTAGCTTAATATCAGATAAGCAAAATAGTTATTGGTAAGTCAGATAGACAATAGGCTATATTCAAGTCAAATAGGCAATAAGGCTAATTGCAGGTCAGATAGGCAATAAGGCTAATTGCAAGTCAAATAGGCAATAAGGCTAATTGCAAGTCAGATAGGCAATAAGGCTAATTGCAAGTCAAATAGGCAATAAGGCTAATTGCAAGTCAGATAGGCAAAATGGTTAAATGTAATTTTAAGTCAAGTAGGTAATAGGCTAAATTAATGTCAGATGACAAAAGTCAGATAAGAAGTTTGAATATAAAAAAAACATTAATTCGCAAAAAGTAAGTCGCAGTACAAAAGGAGGGGAAAACATATGTCGAACAAAGAAAGTGAGAAATCGCAATAAAACGAAACAATAAATTCAACTGGCAACAGAGATCAAGTGATTCTGGCCGTTTTATTATTATTACTATGTTTATAATGATTAAATCCTATTGAAAAACATTACAAGTCGAAAAAATGGCTTTAAAAAAACTAATTTCCTATACAAAATACTTAATGAGTTGGTAAGTAGTGGAATATGTACTGGGAATTGCCGATATTCTTAAATATGCCAGTCTGTTAGATTAGTCATATCTGCTGGTCAGCAACTACATGTGACCATAAATGTGATTTAAACCCGGACTTAGGCGTTAGGTTTTTTTTCTGTGCTCTTGGTAGCGTACCCATTTCACAATTCATCACAGCCTCCATTTTACACTTACCTGAAATTACCATTAAAGACACCCTCCCCTATCCTAACATATTCAAAATTTCCACTTGGAAGACGTTGGAACTGGAAGATATCATAATTTCTTATTCCATCACCATTTTCATCGAAAACTACTGGATCGCCATTGGATCCTACAAAGAAGTGAATAAAATTAGAGTTGCTTCCCCTTAATACCATCCTAAGTTGGAAACATATCCTTTCCTTACCTTTAGAGATTTTAACATATGTTCAAATTTGCAATCGAATTTCTAAGTAATTTTTTACATTGCTAAGAAGTCAATTAGAAAAGTCTATAGTCTTTGAAAAACCAAAAGCATGAAACTGAAAACGTATAGAAGACTTCGGATATAGCTAATTCTGAAGATCCAATAACAGCAAAATTTCGAACAGATCATTCAGCAATCACTTTCATAGAATAAAATAAAACACAAAACCATTACCATTTAGCTTCACGTTGCGAATAAATCCAAGGAGCTCCTCTCCAGCCAACGGTCGATATCTTAAGCACCTTGAAAAATCTTTATGTGTTCCTGGACATTCATAGGAAAGCATATCATGTACACCTTGAGCTAAAGCGTATACTGAGTCTATCACAAATTGAACTAAGCCCTCCTGTCTGTAATTAACATCAGGGTTCCAAAGAGATTCTGTACCTGCAACATAATTTCCCAAAGATATACAATACAGGGCGGTGCACATCAAATTATGAAATATGTTTGTTTACGTTATTTTCTGTTCTGGCACAGGCAGCCGAAGACGGGCAACGCCAGCTGAAATATTCAAGATATGATGTTGGAATCATTTCATTTCGACCTCATTGATTTTGTCGTCTTTTGTTTTGTGAATTTCGGTTTAGGTATTATTACTTTCATGATGTTGAAATGTGATGTTGGATATTGCATTAGAAGAATATACCAAAGGTTTATTCTGTTGTGGTTAGATCAAGTTTTAATTCTTTAATTCTACAAGTATTTACCAGCAACCAAACCATTTCTGCATAGATCATATTGATAATTAGAAACTAGACATACCTGTGCACCGTTTTCTATAAGGTGTATTTGTTAAGCTACAGTTGAAGATAGTCTCCCAGTATTCTGAGAACCATGGGTTCCTTTGATTATTATAAACGGTTAAATTTCTAAAATAATAGTCAAATTCTGGAAAAGAGAGACGAAATTTTACATGGAGATGGCTTCCCTGGAGAGGGCAAAGAACTGATAAACAGTAACGTCTTTAGCAGTCAGAAAACGTTTGGTCGAGGCATTGGTACAGTATGTGTTTGATTGGGTGTTTTCAGTTTCGATTGACGTTACTCTATAATGAAAAGACCTTAGGGGCACATATACTGATGTACGTACATGTGGACCTGACTTGAAACATACCAGCGATAAAGTTAATATTGTCCTGACATAGTGTACCAAAATGTTTGCAAAACATTCTACTTATTGTATGTCAAATCAATAGGTTTCAGAAGTGGGTTTGTTTTACCTTTTATGACTCTTCGTTTGGGTAAAATCGTGATGGTACCTTCAGCAACTGTCTCATGATCTTGAACTGGGTGTATTTTGGCTCCCCAACTATCACTGGCAAGAATAGAAAACTCCTTTGTTTTGTTCATTTTTTTCAAAGCTTGGAGTATACTCCGACAGTTGTCTTCGTTCACAAACATAACCACAGCTTTTGCTGTATTATTGTCTTTGAGAATGTCATTTATAATATTTGTAAAAGTTGTTGTGTTCACTGATCGTGGAATCTTGAGCGACCTTGAGACACACACACCTACAAAAGGTGAAAACAAAACAATAAGCATCTATCCCTTTTCCTTTTTAACCAGGGTTCAAAAGATTGTTTATCAACTAAATCGCTGAAATATATCATGAGGTAATAGCGTGGCAACCTTTTAATGTTCAGTAACAGTTAAGGAGCTTCGCCTCTTGATTAAAAATTTCGTACATTTACACTGGATATATGGACAATATAAGTAATTACACTTAATGATTCAAAGACGACTGAAATATAAATTTTTGCCCACCTCCCTCCATTTGATTTTTACAATATTTTAAAGAAAAGGCCCTTCTATTAAACTTGTGATGGTGTTTACGTCCGTTTTTTTAGTCTTTATTGTGCGAATAAAAAAAATGAGCTTTATCAAAAATGTCTTTTTTGAATATTATGTAACATCTATCTAATAATTTCATTACCCTATATTGACCATTAACAGTCTGTAATAATACATAGTCACCTCTTCTGATATACTTTAATAAACTGAGTAGACGCGGTGATAAACATTCGTTATACTGTCTAATTTCAGACTAAAGAAATCTCTCTGAAGTAATATAACCGTGCATCTTAGCCTTTTATAGAGACGAAGTATGAGCAATTAGGGGAAATAATGAAACGTCTGGCAAGTTATTCATATAACTATCGTTCTGATTGTGGGATCACATCCGCGTTAGTCTTTCTATTTCCAATCCCGAGATTGAATTCATAGCTTTCCTAATCTTCTCTTAAACATGTCTCTGAAATGCGATCATAGTCTTGGACAACATGCCATTATCCGTTTGAAACATGAAAACAGAAGTTCATGGTTCCAAATAAACGTTTATTTTGGTGATATTTACACTTTTCCTACTATACTGCGATTCACATTTTCTAGCTATGACGCGGTAACTTGCCGTTCTGGAATTGAAGAAGTGAAGTTTTACTGTATGAAATCTCATATCCAAATTATAAAGGAAGATAGTCTAAAATTGCAGTTTAAAATTATCAAATCATTATATTTATTCGAAGCTGTAGTCTATGAAAAAAAATCCATGAAATCTTTTGAAAAGAAACCTTGAGGCGGAAAATTTTGGTTTCAATATTTTTTTTCTCTGACCCAGACAATCCTCAGAATAAAATAATTTTCAGTGATTTTTTTTTACACGAAAAGATTTTTGGTCATAATTATGGTGTCAACACTTGTTTTATGTTAGTTCCTGGGTAGCTTTGGCCCCAATGATGCAGGTTTAATTGACGAACTTGACGGTTCTTCTTAAGGTCCCCCGAAAGAGACCTTGCATAATTTGCTATAAGCTTACCCGATTTCTTGGCAATTTCTTCAAATTTTCCAATACCCCTCTCTCCATAATTTCCCTCATCTGCTAAAGTGTTCACATAATCCCATTTAAATGATTTGGCTATTTCTACCATAACTTGAGCTTGATATTGATCAGGAGGGACAACTCTTGAAAAATATTCAAATCTGGATTTATCACTTAGATCACCACTTGTGGAAGAGTAACTTATCTGGGGGATCTGTAAGAGATAATGTACATACATAAATACACTTATGTACAAAGAACATATTACTATGAACATTTGATTTAGTCTATGTGAACACCGGGTCAATATTGCGCAGGCGTATATAAAAAGAAGCCTAAAATCAAGCAAAAAAAATGAAATTTTCTATGTTTAAAATCTAGTAGCACTGAAAACATCCAAAGTTTTTTATTGCCCATTCTGGACAACTTAACATCATAAAAACTGTTCACAAGAGCCAGAAAATGACCTCGTAATTATTTATGGGTTTTTGGGTTGTTGTTTTTTAGATATTTTCTCACAAATGTGATGGCCATACAGCCGTATGTATTTCGAGGGACGGTATGTTTTCTTGAGAGATATAGAAACCATCGCACTATTTATGTATTATTCACAAAGAAAGATGTTTTTGTCTAGTTTTGTATGTATGCAGTCTTGTACTAATGTTTTCTCTTTAATATACACTACTCTAGGGAATGGAGATTTGTCAATACCGTCTATCTTATTATTAACAGAAAAAGAGTATTATTATACTCATCTGAAAGGATGAAGTCCAGAAGTTTACAGGGAACCGCGGTGGCTCAGTGAGTTAGACGCTTGCTCGCTAACCTGAGGCCCCGTGTGCTACAGGCTGTGCACGTTAAAGATCCCTCGACAGTTGGAAATCGAAAAAGAGCAAGCTAATGCCGCTGTCCTGGCAAAATTTCCCTAATGGCACCCTGCATGGCGTTGTCCGTCTTCATTAGCCCACAAGGTGCAGAAAAGTAGGACGTAAAACTCCATTTAATTTCATTTCCAGAAGTTTACATATAAAAAGGATATGGTATCCATTGTTTTCTGTTAAAAAGGAACACGAAAGAGATGTCAATGAATGTTTAAAACAACATACAATAAAAGTGTACGAGAATAAGCGTAAAATTTGATTTTATTTTCATCTGAAAGACAATGTCATTATGTTTTTGAATTATGAAATATGTAAACCATGTATAAGTCCTACCCTGAACCAAAATCAATATCGAATGTCTGAAGTAAGGATGAGAGAACAGACAAGCTAACACGAAGGACAGAAATGAGAAAAAAAATTTTCTTTTTGTCCATATTTGAAAATTCAATATAACTTCTAAGATTTAACAACTGAAGCAGATTAAAATATTTTGAATAATTTATGGCTTGTTTTTTTATTTTGCGTCTATCTACCTTCTGGTAAGTCCATATGCCATTACATTGCTCTAGCATTAAAGGTATACTCGTTTTGTTGTTGTTTGGGCGCAATATACCTTTGGTAAAAGATTTCATTTAGAGGAGTGGCAGAAATTAACCGGGTCATATGATTGCAAACAATATAAGTAAAGATATTTCTTTATATAAATATGAAATTTAGTTGTAGTTAAATCTTATATTTTCATACTTTTTTTTGTATAGCGGATTCTATTGAATATAGAAAAGAGTATTGTCAAAATGAATGTTGATATATAGGTTTGTATAATATTTATAACTGTGCTAATTAAAGAGTCTGCATTTATTTATTTATGATGTTTCCTGATAGTTATAATTAAACAAGACTGACAGACTACTGACAGACGAATTCATCAATCTTAAATGAACGTCGAATGCAACAATAGCATAGTATGAATAAATATGGTGGTAAACCAAAACAATGACACAATTAATTGTAGAAGTCCACTAGATGCGTCACATACATGTTTACCAGTCAATCGGCGCTTACTAAAACCATGCGCCTAACGACACACAATCGGGGCTCTAGAAATGATACATTTAGAACACGGATATATTTGACACACGTTAGTTCCGGATTATATACATACATGACACATTAAAATTATAAGATATAATAATCCGTAAGTGTAACCTGAGGCAATAATGCTATTTTAGGTGTACATACAGCTTGTAATTTTCCGATCGAAGAAGGCAGTGCAAAAGAGATGTTTCCCTTCGACACAAATAGTCATCGGGGTGGGGCGAGGACGAAAGGATACATGACATTTTGAAACCGACTCCGGATTTAATTCTGCATTAGAAATATCAATAGATGATACCGTGTGAAAGAATCTGAAATGTACACATAGCAATCAATTGATTTCTTTATCGTGCTTTGTTTTAGCTACAGGCGTAATCGTTCATTAAGAAAAATATTCTATATCGATTGATGCACTAAGTTATTTAAGACTCTTGATGGAGTTTTAAGTCCAATATAAGGTACATTGTAACCTGTGGTTGAAGTGTATGCTTGAAGGTGTTCTGTTGAAAAAACTGCCTGCTTCTGATAATTCAGATCATAATTTGTGTTTTTGTTTAATATTTCAAAATTTGAGTATTTTGCATCACAAAATCTATATCATTAATACTATATTCTTATGTTTTTTTATTGAATGGATTTGGTGATCTTTGGAACGTTTTCATTTTTCCCTGTGTGAAGTATATCGATCCCGTCTTGTTACCCGGCAAAGTTTCTGTTAAAACTTGTTAAAAACATACTATAATGGCTAAAAATAAGTGAGGCAGATGCGATTTAATAGAGGCATGTCGCTTTCATATAATTGAATAACAGACCTGTCGCTTGAGCTTCGATCTTTACCCCAAATTGATGGAATACCATTGAAATATTTTCTCAAGATATCCCATTTGCTTTATTTAGCCAGAGGCCGTAGACGTTATCATATTCATCTTCCTTCATACGTGAACAAAAGACGGAGGATGGAAAGAAACTAATAATACTTAATACCATGGCCATTTTAGAACTCAAATAGACTTAGAATCAGTTATTACAATAATGGTATAGGTTAGCCGTAAGACAAGTATTATTTCGAACCTGTTTCATTTTACGTTCTGCCACAGTTGTATGGTTTTTGGGTATTGACTCTTTTGTTATCGGTGAAAGTGGTACTCGAGACATGAACAGCGCCAACACTGTTGACTTATCCTTCTTAGCTACCAATCTAAATGGTTTCTTTCACTGTAAAGTATTTTCCTGGCCGGATTACCATGAAAGGATTCGAATTCCGATATTCTGTATTATCGACATTTTTACAGTTTTGTAACGTTTACTAATTTCAGCAACACCAAGAAAATATTTCTGTTGCCATACTAGAACGTTTCCAACCTAGGAGAGTTCCTCGTGCACATCCTCAAGTCCTGGTGACAACACTATACAGTGTGCAATAAGGAAACAGTATCATAACTGTAGTATGATACAATCGAGGAATTGATGACGCACAACATATGGGCAACAATGGTTTACCAGGCACCTAATCCATAGCCATATGGCATGCCTTACATTGGAATTTAGTTTTATCTTAGGATAGTAGCTCGAGCTTTGTTTGGAAATAATTACATATGAACTTAAATCTTTAAGTTTAGTACGTATTCATAGCATGGCATTTGGTTCGTTAAAATCTGATAGTTATCAGACGTACTCTGACGTTACTTATAGGTCAAATTACAAACAATCTATTATTTCAAACCATAAACACTGACATCTACATCAGCTTGTTTCTTCTCTCATGGTTTAAGAGAACTGAGATGAAATGGGGTAATCCGCCCTACTTTTCTGCTTCGGCCAATGAAGACAGGTAACCCAGTGGGGGGGAGGGGGGAATTTTATCACAATCAGTGCATTAGTCCTCTCTTTTTGCAGCAATCTCGAGGGGTCTGCAAAGAGCACAGTCTCCACAAGACTTGGATTTTTATTGAATTCAGTGAAGTTTTTACGTTCTACCACACTATTGCAATGACATGCAATATGTAATGATGAGCGTTTTGCTCAGCGGTATATGTATTAGCCTACTTTTTTCTAGTTAGATCAATACCATATCACCCTCTTAACACGTTTATTGAGAGTCATATCAAGAGATGTTCATTTCATTCCAAATTATTATTGGATTCCACTTCGCAACTCGCCGATCAGATAGTTGGACGTCAATATTACATTGGCTGGCCATGGCGTGTAACGGTTCGTCAAACACGACCATTACTTTGTTTAACTTCGCTTCCAGCTTCGGTGTTCATTCTATAACAGATAGACAACATATTGAAAGAGGGAATGCCTGACGGTGTCTTAAGACTGTGAAATGTCAAAGGGCAACACTATTAATCATTCCGACCTATCAAACAAATATTAAAAGATTAATCAAGAATGTACACTATGAATGATTGGATAGTTTCTGAGCTAATATTAGAAGCCGGTACATTGTCAGAGCAATGAATGACTGGCTGGATAAGTCTATTCTTGTCTAAATCAAGTCAAATACTTTAGCGTGGTAACACCAGAATGGCTCCTCAATCATCTGGAGGTCACAATGATGGGTCTTTGATTCAGTTTTTCACGCAGGTCAATGACATACTGTACATCTAAAGCCAATTGGCTCGACAGATAATGATCATGCTTACTCTTCTATACTGTTTAAACAATTTTTCCGGTTTCTTTTTTCAACTTAAGCGGTGCCTTGTCCATGTTAACCTTGAGCTCATTATGACTGGCAACAAGATGTGCAGTCAAGGGCATTTTAAATTCTGCCCGGACGTAGTCGTCATCCTTTTCACTTTCCAATTGTCGGGAAATCTTTAATAATATTCCTGCAGGCCTTGCATTTCTGTTCAGCCTCACCCCACTAGCCACCTGTACTCACTCTGGGACATGCATCACTAACAGGGCAAAGGACAAACTTTTGTTGGCTTACCAGTACTAACAGATTATAAGAACACAAATGAAAACTAAACCAGCTTTCGAAGATTAGAACTATATTTAGTAAGCCAGTCACAACTCATTAAGATAGACGTCAATTTGGAGCAAAGTGAAATATAGGAACTTTATTTCCGAATCTCTTCAAGAATCCAATAAAGGCCCGTTGAGAATAGACGACATCTTACGATTAGCCGCGTAAAAAATTGATATAAAATCGCCTCATGAATCCTATTACAGAATTTTGAAGAATCACTCGAGTACGATTTACCGAAAGAAAAGTTGCTAATTGCTTAGGTTTACTCTCTAAATGGTCAATAAA